ATTTACTAAGTAATAACTTTTAATATTATAATTTTTTTTTTGAAAATAAGCTAATGTAATATAAAATTTTAACCAATGAAAGTCTATAAGTTATAGATTAATATGTATCAAAAATTTCAATTTTTTAAAAAATATCTCAGAACACCATTTTCCTAGCAAACTTCCCATATGTTAAATAAATCTATGTAGATGAGACATTGAAACTTAAGTATGTAATTTATCTATATAAATGATAATAAACTACTGATTTTATACATGAGCTATCACATATTTATTCACAAAAGAGATAATTTCTTCTTTTTATAATGGGCTTATTGTAGATCTATTATGGATAAGTAATGAAATCCCAAAAATACAATTAATAAATAACTGAAATAATATTAAGATATAGTAAGAGATACAACAAAATCCTAAAACCCAAAATTAGCTAAAACTATATTAAAAATATAAAAGATACAACAAAATTATTTTGAAGGAGTTTTGAAAAATATCTTTATAATTAATAAATATTATTAAATAAAAAATAAATAAAAAAAAATAAAATATACTAAAAAGTTTTTTTTTTTTTGAAATCTTTAACTAAAGTTTTGATACTGTTAACTAATTTGTTATGAAATTATCAAAATATCTATTTGTCATATGAAAACATTTAATACTTTCAGCTAAATTAAATTCACATTTAAAAAATTATCATATCATTTCTTCAAAGGCATTTTTTTACAGATTTTAAATATATAAAAATAAACATTTCAATTCTTCTAAAAAATCACAATAAGCCTTTGTTTTATTCTCTTAATTTGATATTATATTTAATGATCCAGTTAATATAGAAAGTATAAATCATAATCCTTCTATAGCTAGAGTTTGCATTGATAATGTATATCAATAAAATGATTTTTATTTATAACTTAGGATATGTAATATTATTAATAGCAGTTCTTTAAAGTTATAGGTTATAAATAGAGTTTTAAGATAAGCAGAAGGTATTGTGTTTATTATTTTACTAATTTAATTAATAATAATCTAATTCTAATCTAATACAACATAGATATCATATTGTTTGCAACATTAGCATTCTATATAATCAGGTATATTTATTAATTATATTTTTCAGAGTTATTATAATAAAATATGTAAAAGTGATAATAACGATATTTTGTGTTTAAGGGATTATTGGTCTTTTTAATGATTAAATGAGATTTATTATAGAGAAAGTAAATTGTATTAATTATTGTTATAATTATTGTTGTATAAAAACTTGATATAATTCTTTTATTAAGGAAAAATTCCATCATTATATATATGAAATTTTAATAAGACATTTTTGTCCAGAAAACTAAATTGGTCAGAGAACAATTATGACCAGTGAATAATATTAGCCAAATGATTCTTATTACGCTAACTTAATAAATGCTAGTCAAATTCTTATACATATGAAATAATAAAGGCTAATAAAAAAATAATAAAAATAAAATAATAAAATAATAAAATAACGCTAATAAAAATAATACTAAAAAATTATACTAATAAAATGATAATAATAAGATAAAAATAATGCTGATAATAATAAAATAAAAAAATAATAATAATAATAAAATAACAAGACTGGTCATTTTGAATATTCTTCATTGCTTAATTTTTTCTTTCTTGTATATTATTAATATAACAATATTTTAAAATGGTTTGATAACAAAATTTTATATATTTTTATATAAATATTCTTAATGTACTAATAATAAAAGTTTGAATAGTAATATAATAATTGAAATTATAGAATTAAAATTCTTATTTTTTAAAATATCAAAACAATAAAATTATTTCTCTGCCTCATTTTGAATAAATACTTTTTTTAATTCATATCTTTTAAATAAAAATGCTAATAGTTTTGAATACTAGGTAAATCTTTAAAATTAAGCTTTAAAAATAATTCAAAATTATAATAAAACCACATTTTTTTTTATTATAATGAACAATACAATTAGTTTTATTTTAGTAGATTTATTTACTACTCTTTTAATATTATCTATTGTATTAACTAGTGATATTTAATAAATTACTTTTCTTAATATAATGAAATTGATGAAACTGAAATAATGAAACTAATTTATAGTAAAAAACGCGTCTACAGCTTTGGAAACATTTTTTACTAATAAAATATTTACAAAGCTGAGATGGCAGTTATTACTAAGTTTTCTTAGTAAAACTGAAGCTGCAATAGCAGTTATTAATAATAAAATTATTTACTTAATTAAAAAATTATATTTAACTTGATCTAAATTTCTTGAATTAAAATATATTAAAAAAATAATAATTTTATATTTATTCATATATAAAAATATTAAAAAGACTAAACCTTTTGATGAAACTATATTTTTCAAAAAAGAGTTTAGGCAGGTATTACTAGTATTTACCCTAATTTTTAAAAAGAGTTTTACTATCTATTTGATAAAAACTTTATGTATTTTGATATTATAAAATTTACTTTAATATTATTATAATTTTCTATTATTATTAATTAAGACCAATAAAATAAAGATAGATTATTCTTGTTTTAATCTATATAATAATCATAGATGACTTTTAAATGTTGTTTTCTTGATAAAATTTGTTTAATATATTAAAAATGAGATTGATTGTTTTATTTGCAGCTTTACTTAAAAATTTATCTTCTTCAATAATATAATTAACTAAATTAATAATACTTTATTTAGTAGACAGTCAGCAAACTCACCTTGCTAAATTCATGGATATTATTTGCCTACATATAGATAGATAAAGTTGTAACCTTCACAATGAAACTGTTCGTCCTAAACTGAGAAGTAAAACATTATGAGGGATTAGTCGAAGAGAATTATTAGGGCAATCAGTGCTTTCAATACATATTAGATGGCCAAAAATCGAAAAAACTTTAGAAGACTTGACAACTTGTCAAATTGCTAAATACTTTGCTTGGTATTATTAGATCGTTATTTAAATGTCATTTATTTATTATTTATGTGACACAAACTATCATCTATCATTCTGATCTCGTGACCAACTGAAAATTCCGATAAGATCCTGCAAAATTTATTTTGTCCAGGGTCTTATGAAAACAGCTGTAAAATTTTCGATCAGAATTAAGAATTTATGATTACAGAAAATTCCTAAGTTCTGGCCTAATTTATTGTGTTTGCCTGAGTTAAATTTAACCAATTTAAAGGATTTTTAATCCGGTTCCAACAACTAAAAAGAGAGTGTGGATTTAAAATTATATTTTCATTGTTAGATTTATATAAAACGATTTACATAAAAATATAATCAAGAGATTAGTAAAATATAGAACAACTTGGTAGACTCAAGCTACTAAATTGGTAAATTACTCATTATTGCGATAATATTCATGATAAAAATTGAGTTCTTAAAAATAAATTTTGCTTTTACATAAGTTTTTTATTATATAGGGTGATAAACAAATGAAACTGTAGTTATGTATTTTAAATAATAATATATAGGATTTATAATTACTCATTCATTTCATGTACGATTGTACATGAACAAGAAACTCCAAAAAGATCTACCCACAATGAAATGCTGGTTACCACGACAAAAGCGATCAATAGGAGAAATACTATTATACCGCTAATGCTAAACCATATATGTAGATACTTATTACCTTTCACACTTTGCTCTCCCATCAAGTGTTGTATTAATGCCAAGAAACTATTAAATGACCATATGGAAGCCGGAGTACTTAAATATTTGCATATACATTTACAGCCAACTGGAGGCGTGTATTTGGCCAGGATTACAACAGTCCAAGGGATAATTATCGATATTAAACCAGTCAAAATTACGTAGAAATACTCAGGATCATCACAGTATTTCACGGGTATTTTAGGTATTTTAGGTGTTCTTTTCGTTAACTTTTTATTCTGTTTATTCTTTCTGTTCTTCTTACTAATTTTTTTTTCGCTTTGTTCTTCAAGCAATTTAAATTTTTCGTTAGGATCCTTTACAACAAGGATCCCTCCAAATATTCTCCTGAAAATTGCAGGAAATGTCCATGATAAAGCCAATGTTATATGTGGCAAGTATTCACAATCGCGAGGTACTACCAATCGTGATATTCCGGCAAATATACCGAGCCCCATATAATATGCTGGGGGCAATGATGACAGCCTTTCTAGAACAGATGCTTGCGCTGTGCATTCTTCTATTATATTTTTCATTTCTTTCGTAAATTGTCCACGAATTAGACTTTTATAATGAATTCCGATAGGTCTATAGGGTAGACCTTCAATTTTGAAGGTTTCTTCGTCATGGTTGCCTATTGATATAAAGTATTTTGCTTCAAGCCAGTAGCAACATAATGACGTCTCGTCATTATTGATGTTGCATGTATAATATAACCCAGTAAATGGACAACCAAGGCATCGGTATACCCACATGAGCTTCTCCAAAAAACCCCGCATTGGGGAAGCACCAATTGTTGCGATAGTTGGAAGACAACCGAGTACATACGATGGTAATGATGATAGTAAGCTTTTTATTAAACTTAAAAATTTTGAGGTGATCATTTTTGATAGCAAAGAATCGAATCTTTGGAAAGCTTTTGAACGGAATGTGTTTGTTTGTAGTGTGAATTAACTAATATTCTTGTCTAATTTTTTTAACAAATCTCTTCCGAAAAATTGTGATTTTTGACTTTTCTTTATCAATGAATTAAACCTCCAAAGTTCCAATTTATGAATTTATGTGAATTTTTTTTTAAAAAAAAATAAGAATTAGATCTGCAGATTTTATGCAAATTCCGGAATTATTTTGTTTATATTTATTATAATTGTTCTAGCACTACAATAACAATGATTTATAAAATAAATCAAAGAACTTAATTGATTCAAGGTTGATATTATCAAGCCCATAGAAGAGATTATCAATAATGAGGAAGATAATATTTACTAAACAATACAATTTAAACTTCTTTTGTTATCTTGCCTTAAAAGACAGTTGAATATTGGTATATAATTCTTATATAAACAGCGCAATAAGATGGAAAGAATATACTTGAATTTTAAAATCCACTTACCCCACTTACCTCATTCTAGAAAGTAAATATTCCAAATTAAAAATATATATATATATATATAAAGCCATCAACAAAATGTGCGACAGTTATTATCTTGAGATTAGATTATTATACGCATCATATTTTTGAACAGTTTAGATTAACTATATATTTGACATTTATTTTTATCGAACTCAGTCGCTCGGAAAAATATGGTAGCCAGACGGTATTATCGGGTCACACATAAAGATGATAATCGGTCTCAAAGATTTCTAGTCTTTTCGGTCTTATATTATAAAAGACCGGACTTAAATAACCGCAGTCTTCTGTTCATGTGAATAAAATCAAAGGACCAGCAATCTTTTTTTAAAAACCGCGGTCTTCAAAAAAAGACTGATCAACATTATTTAAATTTTTTTAAAGTAATATAAATATATAAAAGATCAATGGCTGAATTTCGTTTCAATTTTTTTTTCTTTTTACAATGACCGAAATAAATGATGAAAGCGGTTCTTCTTTGACAACGGTTTAAGAAAATGAAGTTGAAGCTTTTCCTTATGATACTTTGTTGAAAATGAAGCTTTAAATATTGAAATTAGTTTTGAAGATAATCTAATATCAGAAGAGGGATGCAGCAACGAAGAGGAGGAACATCGGTTTGTTCCACAACATCAGTAAGATGGAATTTTTTAAAAATTGTAAAATATATTATTTGCGATGTTGGACAATATAATCTTCAGGAAAAAATTCTCATTTTAATTTTTTGTTGTAATATATTATAAATATTTATTTTTTTATAAAAGACTGAATTACAAGTAAGACTAACGGTCCTCCCGATCGGTCTTTATAATTTAAACCCGCAGTCCGATCCGTCTTTGTATAAGACTGATGATACAAAGAGTTAGACCGCGTAGGACTAATTATCATCTTTAGTCACACGACTTCGGAATCTGATCTCCGGTAGTTTCATTATACTTCCCAAATAGTGTAAATTACGAGTTTATATTATTTCAGCAAACATTATATGAAAGCAGATTTCTTTTTTTTCATAAATAACATTTGATATAGTTGAATAATAGGAAGGGCTTATACAAAGATATGTATATTGTAGCAACGGATTTTGATTTTCTTTGTGACCATATTTTAAAAAATATGGTTAAACAATTTAAGATTAATTTTTATAAAATAAATTCTTTCGTAAATTTTAACTTTGTAATATTTTATATTAAAGCTCATAAATATTACGTTATAGACTTTTAATTTCTATAAATTAAAAAAAAAAATTATTACAAATATTTTGTTTTTGATAATTATACTGAATTAAATTGTTACATATATTGGGATCATACGAAATAAAAATCCCGAGGGATGGGAAAAGTTCCAATTGGATCTAGAACCGAACGTCGATTCCACTTGAGAGTCGGTTCTATTTAAATTATTTAAATTGTGATGTTAGTAATTCACTATTTTAAAATGTAAATAAAACATACAAAATAAATTTGCGATTGTTAATAATTTTTGTGGCACAGTAATTTGTAACACAAATTTTTTGTAACGGCAATTGATAAAATAGTAATTTTGTAACAGTAAATTTTAATAAAATGACAATCAACGAGAAAAATTTCTAAATATTTTTCTCGCTTCATTTGTTGAAATGGAAGAACAAAATGAAGAAACATCTTCTGAAAGAACATTAAGTGATGAAGAATTCAATCCCAACCAACTTGAGGATAATGAATTAGTTAACCTTGGTGTTAATTTCTTTATAAAATGTTAAATATTAATTTTAGTAATATCATTACTATATAAAAAATAAAGTTTAATATATGTTTCATCAACTTTATTAACAAAGATTATAAGTTTTTAAAAAGGTTTTTAAAATTAAGTTTCAAAAAATTACTTATAATAATTTTTTAAAAATTCTTTAAAAATTTATATGTTTATTGAATCACTTTATCATTAATTAAAGTCATAAAATTTTTTCTTTATAAGTAATTTTATAATATTCTATTATGATTAATATGTTAAAATTAAATTCTAAAAAGTTTATCATAGATTATTTTTAAAATAAATTTTTTTTTAAAAATTACAAATTTTTAGCTTA